CTCCCTAGGACTTGAGAACTGTTCTCCGAGGCAAGGCCGTGGCTGGTGACTCCTTGTTCGGTTGGAGTCCACAGGTTAAGACGCTGCTACTGTGTTCTTTCCTCTACGGATGCTATGTCAACTGTCCCCATTTAAATCTCCCAGTCTCAATGTGTCTGGACGGCAAAGCCAACAGCCTGGCACTTCTGAGCACAACACACTTCATCCCTGTGCCATCTCCAGATCTGTCCATGAGCCCACCTCGGGCAGGGCAATTGCCTTGTCTAGACCTAGAACCTAGACTCTGCCGTCTCTGCGGCTGACCTCAATCACTGACTCCTCTTCCCATAGCTCAGCGCAGCTCTTGGCCCTCCCCTCTCTTGGATAGCTAGGTACTGGCAGGCCTGGCACCCCATCCAATTGGCACTGCCTGCTGCCAGCCAGCAGCAGTCCCTTGGAGTAATTATCTCTGGTGCCACCAGAGGATAATGACTTCTGGGCAGGAAACTGGACGTGGAAGCAGATGATGGGTCTATTTTCATACAGACGAAGGAGTGGGTGGGCAAATGACTCACAGGCCAAGCGCTTTCTGAATAGCATGTTTCCATCACTTTCTTGAAAGCAGCAGGTTAGCTTCCTCTGAGGTGTGGGTGAGGACGTTGTTTGGGGTTCCCTCTTTGAAAGGGAGGTTTGGTTGGATTTCTGTTGCTGTCTGGTTGCTCTTTAAAGTATTGGTTTTGCTGTGTTGTGATGTGTGTTTAATGAGAAGCTGGAAGCAAGGGGGAGAGAAAATTCTAGAGAAGAGAGAAAAGCAAAACCTGTACACAACACTTCCAGGGGTCCATCATAGGAAGGTCAAAATGGTTCAGCCAGAGTCAAACATCCAGGCTCTGCCAAGAGCAGATGCCTCAGCTGGGAAAGTAGTGACAGCTCGACAGCTAGGTTTTATATGGTTGCCATCCAAAGACAAGGAAGGAAGAGGGAGAGCCTTGGCAGGGAGCTCCAGGCAGACTCAGAGCCCTGCAATTGCCCCTGCAGTCACATCAAAGAATGTGGCTGCTGTGCCCCAGAGCGGTTCCTTCCAGTCACATCTGGGCGATAGGAGCCAGGGAGTAGCCGGGATTTGGGGCAGAAGGAGCCTGGTTACTATCTATGCCAGGGAATCACTCAGTACTGGGGCTGCTGGACCAACCCTGGTGCTCACCCCTTACCAAAGAAAGGCCAGTTAAGCTGAGAGGCAGGGTGTTTCAACAAGGAAAGTGACTATTGGGCAAGGCTGCTCAAAGAGAAGGGATCGGGCTTCAGTCACAAAGCCCCCCCTCGCCATTCAGGGATACATAAGAGATTGTACATAAGAGATTGCACAGGGAGGAACTGGAGGGACAGGGAGGCAACAGGCCGATGGCAAGGGCTTTGTCACTCAGGATATGTCTCTCTCTTCTTTTGTCCTCTGTCCATGGACTTCTACTTCCTACAGCTAGTTCACTGAAGACCAATAACAAAACCAGCAAATGTTCTAGGTTCTATGAATCTTAATACTTAGCCATTAACATCTTCAACATTTATTCAGCTGGACATCATAGCACAATTCCAGCACTCAGGAGGCAGACACAGGAGGAGTATGGGACAAGGGCCAGCCTCAACAACTTAGGAAGACCCTGTCTTTAAAACCAGAAAGGAGGGGCTGGAGAGATGGCTCAGCAGATAAAGCATTTGCCTAGCAATCAGAAGGACCAGAGTTTGGATTCCCCAGACCCACATAAATGTTGGAAGGCGTGCACATTGGCTGGCCTGTTATCCCAGGCTCAGGAGGTAGAGATGGGGGATCCTGTATTGGCAAGCTCTGAGTTTGACTAAGAGACCCTGCCTCGAAGGAGAAGGTGAAAGAGCAATCCAGGAAGTCTCCACATCAGCCTGTGATCTCCACACATGCATGCATACCTGTCTGCACATACCTGAACAGACATATGCATACACATCACATACACATGAAAAATTATTTTTTTAAAAGAGAGAAGTCCTTTGGGTCTGGAAAGATGGCTCAGCACTTAACAGCATTGGCTTCTCTTTCAGAAGACTCGGGTTCAATCCCCAACAGCCTCATGGCAGCTTGCAGCCATTTCTAACTCTAGTTGCAGGGAATCCAATGCCCTCTTCCGGCCTCCATGTGTGCACATGGGGCATAGACATATATGCACACAGAAATACCCCTACACACAAAATAAAAATAACTCTGTTTTTCTTTTTAAGAGAAGAGCCCCTAAAAGGTTAGGGGGGCGCTAACTCTCCCAAGAAGGCCTCTCCAAAGAGTTGTACTGTTACACTGGCCCTCCTTGTCACTCTTTCCCAGGGGAGCCAATACCCACAGAGGCAGTTGTTTTAAATGAGGACATTGGGTCCCTTGATGTTGTTGGAAGCACGAGGGACCTCTGGGAGCTTATAGAGAAGCCACTCCGAGAACCGGCCTGAGTCTTTATCTCATTAGCTGGTAATGTGCTGGTGGGAGCTTATTGAGTAGCCGTCTCTAGCCCTGAAGATTCCAGTGTATAGACACTCCAGCCTCAACTGACTTCAAGCTGCCAGTTGAACAACTCTGGTTCACAAAAACTAAATCATATGCAGCTCCAAATGACCCAATTCTAGGACATACAACCCTGAACCTTTTGCACACCAGGCAGAGTAGAACTCATAGCAGGATCTCCAAGCACCATAATGTACCATGAACCCTGGTAAAGCTGCCCCTCACAGCTGGGGGAGGCTAGAAGACAGGGGGAAGGAGAAAGGACTCTCTAAAGGAGAGGATCTAAGAACACATACAGCAGGAGAAATATAGAGTAAGGACAAGTGCTAGAAGCCACGGCGGCAGCGGGACCCGGGGGATAGCTTAGAACAGAAAGTGCGCCCTGCACAAACATGAGGATCTGGGTTTGGACCCCCAGCACCCACTTCAAAAGCTGGGTTTGACTGCGTAAACCTGCCACACCAGCACTGGGGAGGTAGAGATGGGGATCCTAGAGCTCAATGGCCATGCAGCCTAGCAGAACTGTTAAACTCTAGGTTAGGTGTCTCAAAATTTATTCCCAATTTTGAAATGCAGGAATCAGTCAGCAGTGGAAGTCCCTCATGCTTTGAAGAGAGGGGTGATCTGCCAGAGGGGTGATCTCTCTGTCTGTCTAATATATATATATGTATGTATATAGAGAGAGGGGGGATGGATAGATAGATAGAGATAGATGATACATAGATAGATAGATAGATAGATAGATAGATAGATAGATAGATAGATAGATAGATAGATAGGTAGATATCTGTGTGTCTTATGTCACCTTTACTGTCTTGGGGGTGGGAGTCACCTGCCCTGAGTCTTTTCATTATTTTTATACTCAGCCTTGTCTATTGTATGGCCTGAGTCTATCCATGCCCTACCCTCACACATACACAAAAGGAGGTAAAGACAAGAGGAAGAAAGAGAAAAAGAAACAAATGACTATCATTCACAAGGTACTTTGTTATAATAATACCTTACAAGATGCCCTGTAATTTCTGAGAACCATCCATTGAAGTAGGCATTGTTATGTTCATGTTTACATATTAGACTCAAAGACTTCATAGATCCTTCCAGAAAGCAGGAGAATCAGACTGGGAATCCATGTCGATCTGATTCTAGAGGTAATGGCATGACCAGGACCCTTCCCAAACAATCTGATAAGACTCTTTGGGGATGTTTTTAAAGCACCCATTGTCTTGAAGCCAGAGCCTCAGAAACCAGCCAAAGTTGCTCTTGGGAGCCACAACCAACATTAGCCAATGTGGCCTTACACAGGTTTTGAAATGTGGCAGTCTTTTACTGTACCAATAGCCATCAGTTCTACTGATCAGAAAACCAGATGAATACAATTACCAATCTCATAGACCTCGGACAGTGGAGGTCCACCAACTGATCACACTGAATTTCCAGCCTTTTATCCAGACACTGTAGAGAACCGTATGTAGTCGGAGCTTCTCCAAGCTGTATCAACACTGGGAGTGATACCACATGGAACTATGTGGGGTTCTCTACAACATGAGGCCCATGGGGGACCCTTGTTTCAATTTTTTATGGATGAACAAAGTACAGAGAGGCAGACTTCCCTAGAAATGAGTAAGATCCGGCCATCAGAGAAATCTGTCTTCATCTGACAAATAGGTCAGGATAGCATAGGAACTTTCTGGTGACTCCCCTGGGCAGGCCAGATCTAAGGGCCTTGTTCATAAAGATATTATGGTTCAGTTAATGAGACTTGGTGCATCACTAACCAACTTGGTAGAAACAATAATGACTGACTGTTGTGGAATTTCCTGGGAAGTAATGAAACTGAACTGCCAGCAGAAAAGTCTGAGGTATTTGTCTACACTTTTTGTGTTTTATACAAAGACCTACAAAAGGTAAGGCTCAAGAGATTCGGGAGAAGTCTAAATGTTCATCAGCATCTGCTAGAGAGAAAATGTAGATACACACACTCACAGGTGGGAATAGTATCCAACGTCTAAAGAGGGAAATCCAGTCATTTGCAACAGAGTGATGAACGTGGGGGACACAGCAGAGAAATCAGGCAGAAAACAACTGCACGATCTCCTTCAGTGTGGGATCTCACACAGTTAAATGCCCAGAAACAGAGGAGAGAAGTGGTTGCCAGGGTCTAAGGGGAGACAGAAATGAGGAGATGTCCAAAGGTACGAAGCTCAATTATGCGAAATGAATTAGTTCAGGAAATCTATATTATAGTACGTTGTCAAGTTAATATAGCATTATATACTTGAAATTTGCTTTAAATGTTAGCATTCCCCACACAATAAAAAGAAAAGAAAGAAAACAGCACTGTAGTGATCTGAACGAGAAATGTCCCCTACAAGCTCATGTATTTGAACTCCTGGTCCCCAGTTAGTTGTACTGTTTGGGGATGTTATGGGACCTTTAAGAGGTGCAGCCTTGATGGAGGATGTACACGACTGGGGGTGGGTTTTCGGGATTTATAGCCTACCCCACTTCCTGTTCATGCTCTCTGCTTCCTGTGTGTGGATAAAGATGTGATCATCCAGCTTTCTGCTCCTGCCATCTTGCCATGTCTTCCTGGCCATCAGGAACTCTCTCTGGAACACTTCTCTAAGTTGCTTTTGGTCAGAGAATCCTTTCACACAAAGCAACAAAAAAGTAACAAACACAATTACTACATGGGATGGTGAGTGTATTAAGCATTTTTATTGAGGTGATCACTTCTGATGATGCTGTGGCTCTTAGTTAGGTCCACCACTGGATGGTGCCACACTCATGAGTACATGGACAACATAAATGGACTCAGTGCATTATTTTTAAAAGTATATGAAGTTGGGAGTGAGTAAGGAGGTAGAGGAGAGATCTGGGAAGGATTTAGGGGGAAGAATGAGGAATGTATATGATCAAAATATATCGTAAAAAGTTCTCCAAGAATTAATAATTAAAATATTATGCTTTTTAAAAGAAAAAATAAGAGAAACTTTGTGCCTTGCTGTTATTAAAAGTGATGATGATAGAGATGATGATAATGATGAAGAAGAAGATGATGAAGGGCTGGGGAAGATGGCTCAGTGAATAGGGATGTTTGCCACTGAGCCTGATGAGCTGAGTTTAATCCTCAGAACCCACAATGTGGAAGGATAGAACCAACTCACACAAGTTGTCCTCTGACCTCCGCTCACACACCACGGCACGTGTGCCACATGCATACACAGGTACACAAAATAAATAAATAAAATCGTAACTTTAAAAAAAGAAAGAAGGAAGAAGAGAAGGAAAGGAAAAGAAGAGAAAAATCTGTGCAACCTCCATAAGGAGTCTGGAAAACCAAAGCATGTTTAAAACCATGTGTCATTTTCCCAAAACTTCTAGAAGGGGTGGGTAGAGGAGGAAGAGGAAGAGTTCTTAAAGGACATAATACACAGAAGATGGGAGAAAAGTGTCCCAACCACCCAGGGAACCCAGACGGCAGGAGCACAGGGCTGAAGGTGTTTGTTGGCACACAGGCCCAGTTACCCTACCAAAACGGAAGTCAAGCTGGGGGGCGACACTGTTTATATACAGAAAAGGACAGCGGTTACGATACAGGATAGGAATGATGCTCCCACTCTTGATTTTGAAGATAGCAGCCAAAAGCCACCTCACGAAGATGAGAAGTTTGGCAGAGGTAGAAAGCAGAGGGTGAATTCCTGATCAAACAAGAAGAGATTGAAACAAAAAAAAAGGAGAGCTGAAGGGAGAGCGGGCCTCCCACCCTCCCTGGCAGATGGTGTCTCCCAGGCTAGAAAGTGATAAAGAACTGGGGACCAGGACCTGAGGGAACAGCAGCTCTCAAGCAGAAGCGATACTCAGAGCAGTCACGATGGGGAAATCGGAGAGAAACAGTGGGATTTAAGCTGAGTGTGGTGCCCATGCCTGCAACACCTGGTACTTGGGAAGTAGAGGCAGGGGGATCAGGAGTTCAAGGTAAAGGCCAGACTGGGCTACAAGAAACCCTGTCTCAAAAATTCAAAAGAACAACGAGAAAAGAATTATGAAATGTCAAGAACCCCAGAGAAGTTTCTAGAGATGGTTGCATAAAAAAAAATAAATAAATAAAATCAGGTGTGGTGGCCTACACACTTAATACCAGGGAGGCAGAGGCAGGTGGAGCTCTGTGCATTCTAGGCCAGGTCTATACAGTAAGACCCTGACTCAAGAAGAAGAAGAAAGGAAAAGGGCAGGGCTAATAAAGAGGCCCTAAGGACCTGAGTTCAATTCCCACATCCTACATGGTGGAAGAAGAGAACTGACTTCTGCAAGTTGTCCTCTGACCTCGACATGCTCTCTCTCTCTCTCTCTCTCTCTCTCTCTCTCTCTCTCTCTCTCTCTCACACACACACACACACACACACACACACACACACACACACACTATATATATATATATTTATATATATATATATATATATATATAATGAAAGAATTTTTTTGAAGAAATAAGAAAGGCTGTGGGGAGGATGATGACGACTTGGTGGATAAAGGCATTTGCCATTTACTATGCAATCCTGATGACCTAAATTCAATCCCTAGAATCCAAGTGTCTTATATCTGTCTCCTTAAAAATAAAACATTCCATCTAAGGGAAGCTCTGAGTAAGACCCAACGCGTTACAAAGGGAGGGGGCATATTCCATCCCAACAAAAGCACCTGAAAACTCAAAAAGTAAACAAACAACTTAATAGCTTCAGGGAGTCCCTGAAACTGATGAAATTCACCAGGCTTTTCCCTCTTTACACATTTACAAGCCGTGAAGAGTGTTGAGCAGCACTCTCAGGCAAGCTGAGCCACCTGGAAGAGTATTCCAACTTGTAAGCTGCCTGCAAGTATGATACAGGGTGACAGATTTCATGGCGGTCACCCATGCTGGGGTGGCTTTTGTTGATGCAACTGTTTTCGGGTCATTTCTGCTCCTTAGTCACCTTTTAGCTGTGCTTCTCTAAGTAACCCCAATAAGCTGGACTTAGGCGATATTCTCACTTTAGCCTGCCATTGATTCCCTATCAGGGGCGAGTAGACACTTGTTCACATCTTCCCAGGAATCACGTGTCATACAACACCACATAAAGACGGAAAGAGAGAAATGCCTCCACAAAGGTACCATCTGAATTCCACATGCCTACCATGGCACGTGCGTGCACACAAGCACAATGATAATACATTTCTAAATTTTTTTTGAAGAGAAAATATAAAGAAATTGGATGCAAAATTCTAGAGCATGCTAGAAATGTAAAGGGAAAAAAAGAGCAATGCTAAAATTAAATGAGAGGAGTGGATAGATTTATATTGGCATGGTTAGATGGATAATAGAGGGACTTTTATGAAGTTGTTTCCAGGAGAAATATAGAAGAAGAATGTTAGTGGGATGGTTCCAGCATGCCAAGAATAATAAAGGGACGCATGAGTTATCAGCCAACAGCCCATAGCAAGAGAGAAGTATGTCCAAGCTGTGTGCGGAGAAGTGCTCCAGGCTGCCGAATCCTCCTCTGGCCCCGTGAGCACCTCTTCTGGGTGGCTGTGGGGAGGAGGGTGACAAGGTACATGAAATGGTACTTACCTTTCCTTCAGTCCTATTAACAAACATTTTCAGAGACGGCTATGTGAAAACCCCATTGCCTGATGCTGAGAAGATGCAAAAGAAAATATGGAACCTCACTAGATACTTTGACAGAAACAGAAAGGGTAGAGTGGACACTGGACATAGAGAGCTGGCCAGATAAGACAGGGCAGCCATGAAGTCTGAAGACAGTCTGGCACCATGAAGAGAGGGACAACATGAACTGTGATAGAATTGGAGACATAAAGGCCAATGAAACATGTTTGAATATTCCCACCAGGTACAGTGATTTAGGCCTGTAATTCCAGTGACTTGGGAGGCTGAGGTAGGGAGCTCACCATTTTAAGCCATGCCTGGACTACAGAGCAAGTTCAAGCCTAGCCTAGACACCTTAGCAATATCTTGTCTCAAAAGAAGTTTAAAGGTGACATGGGGTGAGCTGTATGGAGTGGGCGAGGGATATAGTGTCCCACTGGTGGAACACTCCCCTGACATGTGGGAGGCTCTAGGCACAATCCTCAGTACCGCCACCACCACCACCACCACATTCACACACACACACACACACACACACACACACACACACACACACACACAGAGTTACTGAATGGTTTCTTTGGACGGGAGTGAAATAGAGACGGGCTCAATTCTGAGTGTCTTCCCAGCAGGCTATCTTGTGTTCTTGGGTGTTTGCATACTCGGAGCCTCATTTACCTCAACTGTAAAATAGACAGATGTCTGTCTATGACAAGGTGCCATCTGATTATCACCATAACAGAGTAAGGGACATCAGGTTCACTCTTCTGACATCAACAGTAACGTAACACATGCATATGACACGGCTGTTTTTGGTGGCCCACTATGGATGGATGGAGATGCAACCTTTCACAGAACAAAGCCCTACGAGGCAGAGCCTTCCTCTACTCTAACCACAGAGCAGGGAGGCAGAGCCCGCAGTGAGGATGGAAGAAAGGAGACCAAATGTCGGGGTTTCTCTGAGGACTGATGCTGTAGAGCAGAGAGCAGGGGAGGCGGGAGCTGCGCAGAGCAGGCACCTGCCTGGGGAACACCTGCATCTCCAGTGAACAAGTCACGCACGTGCAGGTAAACTCCATGGGGCCAGGAGAGAACAGACGCTAGGAGCCAGGTACTGAACAGGAATCCCAGGGTCCCCGAGTCAGGAGAGACATTAGTGTTCTCGGTGGCCATGGCAGAGAGAACCCCATGGCACTCTAGTACTCAGCAGAGATCCAAGGGGCCTCACCTCTAGACTTGTTCACCAGGAAAAATGCAGTACTCTTTCAAAGAAGACAATAAAATCCATGAGGTTGAGTACCTAATAAAAAATTACAGGACGCCTACAAGAAAGAAATAAAACAGTAAATAGAAAGAGTCCTGGAGGACAAGGTCAGATACGGTAGTGTATCAGCTCAAGGTCATTCTCAACTACATAGTGGTTCAGGGCCAACCCGTCTCAAATAAATGAATGAAGAGAGGACACTGATCAAATTAGCAGACAAAGACTTTAAGGTAATTACAAGAAATTTAAGGGAAAAGTTCAGACATGAGCAATTAGTAGATGGGCAATCTACTCTGAAAAAGAAGCACACAGAAATTATAGTATAAATAACAGAATATCAAACATTACTAAAGAAAACATGCCTGTGCCCATGATGTGGGGATGAAGCAACAGAAAAATTAGGATTTGCAGAGGTGTTCAGCAGATAATAGTCAAAAGATAATTAAATCAGGGCTCTGGTGTGATATTTGTGAGGAGCTCAGAGATGGAGCAACAGCAATGTCCTATCTGAACATATCATCTCCACGAGCGTTTGTAGAAAATGACCGAGAGAGGTGACCATGAGCAATTCAGTTCAGCTCAGCATTTGCCTTCTGACTCCAGGCTCTGTGTCAATATCAAAGTCGCTAAGACTGGGGCTGGAGCGATGGCTCAGCAGTTAGGAACACTGACTGCTCTTCCAGAGGACCAGGGTTTGAATCCCAGCACCCACATGGCAGCTAACAACCACTTGTAACTC